ACTTATGGCTCTTGTAGTGGCTTTTGTACCCCTATATTTGCAATGTTGTGAAAACACACTGGACAAGTAAAACTTCTAGAGTTTTTGTGCAAACCCAAAAGTTGAAGCTGTTTTGGATTTCTGTAAGATTGGGCTATAAATATGAACTATGGTGGACACCCACACACCACGCAAAGAACCACTTATAGCCTTATTAATGATTTTTTAGGTGCTTTTTTCCTGAACGGTGTATAAGGAATTTTTTTTTGTTTTTTGAGATAAAGCAAAAAAAAAACGCCTTTCTTATTTCACATAAACCTATGGAATAAACCAAAAATCTCAACTTTTTTTTTTTTTGGTCCCCCCACCCATAATTGTGCCTATATACCTCTATAGCGGACCTCATACTCACTGCCACTAACCACACAACATCACAGTGAGAAGCTCAATATATCACAGGTTTAACTTTGCAAGTTCACTTAGTTATATTACTTATTGCAATCACTCACTCATACAAACTCACAAACAGTGTTGATATTGTATTCCAGGGTTTTCCGGTTCAGTACTATTTTGTGGTTTTGACTACACTACATGGGCAAGAATTCTGATAACTTTTTTGTTTATGGCTCAAATGCCTTGAAAGTTGGCTCATTTTTCCCGCCAATTATGGGGCTTTATATATTTTCTATGAAATTACATCCTTGGCATGTGTGGAAATCTCCATAGCCCCACATGTAATCCCCATCCAGCACACTGACTTGCAAGGACATAAGTGCTAGTAGGGGATTTGTCTGTGGTTCAAATGCCTCCATTATAGGCTCAAACTTTCAGGCAATGCTATACATTTCATAATATACCATCATAAAGCTTGTCTGACATGTCTGGGGATCTCCATAACCACGTATGTATTTACCAATCAGTACAATATTTACCAATCAGCACCTAATTTGCACATAACATTGCATATAAAATTTCAATGGGCATTACAAGTGTATTTATACAATGCTCTATTGCTCTCTATTGCTCTCGAGACTTGATTCTTTCTACTATGTGTCTCAACATCCACACATGCACCACTCTTTTTTTAGACCTAAAGATAAAAAGGACAAGTAAGGAAAATTCGGTTCTGCATTTCATTCTTTCATTGCAATTAATATGGTAGGTCATTCAACTTATCTTCATTCTTCATTCTAGTATTGAATTTGTAAATCATTCTGGGGCGAATGCTAGATCAACCTCTATTCAAGTACTCTTCAGACCTAATCTAAGTCCCATATATCCCCTCCATCAACTTACCCTTATACTCAAGTTTGTTCAACTTGGTTCCATTTTTGCTATTCTTGTTGCACTCCTCTGACCACAAAGTCTCCCAAAACCTGCTTTGTTTGGAAAATCTACTGAAGCACATGCTGTAATTAAGTCACTAATCAAATGAACTTCCAAACACTTTCACTCACAAAGAACAGCCAGACTTGGGCTGTGAAAATCGATTGGGGTTTTGTAATGGTATTCTGATATTTCTCTTATCTTTCAAGTATCATTGAGATAATTTTTCTGAATTCTGTACATTTAGTGTAGATGCCTTATGAAAGGTTACCAACACAAATACTCAACATGTGAATGGGCCATAAAATAAGTCACATTCTGGTGAGGGTAAAAATTTGTACCCATGGGCTTAAATTTGTGTCTCACATATGTATGAAAAAGACAAAAGCCTACTGTGTTTATTCAATTCAGAAACATATTCATACAATTGCTCGTGTACTCTCAAATGATTGAAAAACATTACAAAGATATAATGATATCACATCATTGCTTCATTAAGATCCTCCCATTCCAGATCGATGTCTTCATCACTTGAGTCTCCATTCAAATCTCCATCAGTATTAGTAACACCTTCACTTGTATAATCATGATTAGGTATGACTTCATCATCTAGTTGATTAGTTGCCTGAGTATTTTTTACCGCCCACAAATTAGTCACTATACCTGGATTCAATGAAATCGCATCCTGTGAGTACATATGATGAATTGTTTGAATTTGATTTTTCCAGCTCAATTTCAGATCGATGTCGCCTTCTTGCGATGGCGTGTTATGAAGTACCTCACCCAGACACTTGTTCCAGTCAGCTTGCAAGTTGAATATTCGCACTAGCCTTTCATTCAAGATGATACATGAAGCTTTGATCTTACCAGCACTGCTAAGCGATTTAAAAGCCGGATGATCAACCAGTGGAAGGTGATCTTCCTCAGGAGGACCCTGTGCCTGAAGTCGGCAAAGATGAGTTGATAGGGTATTGTGCAAATCAATCGACCATCGCATCACTCTTCTAACTTCCCACCCCAATCGACGGATCTCTTCATTGGCTCGATCATAGTATGCAACCTGGCGCATTCCGTGCTGTGTGTTAGCATCGACTGCCCAAGGCTCACGTCCGTTGGTAAAGAGGCCATCGTTCCAAAACGAGTGATCAAAGTCGATTTTGAGAAGGTCGAGGTAGGAGATGCTTGGCGGTTGTGATTGATGTGGAGAAGTGGTAGAATACGATACTACCAGCTTCTGATAGATCTCCAGTTTTGTCTTCAATTTCGCGGCCTGGTCGCGGAGTGACTTAAGCAAGTGAGTTTTGTCATTGTAACCTGCGCATTGATGAAACCCATATGATCAGTTGGAAATAAAAGCTGAAAGAAGCAATGTTAGAATAATGAGTCACTTACCGATGCTGGAATTCTTCCCATCGCGTCGGCTAACCTCCAGTGGCCGTTTCTGCTCACAAATAGCCACAAACTGATTACGAACTTCTTGCTTTGCATACCATATTTTCAAAATCTGGTCTTGTTCTTGTGCTGCAGTCCAAAAAAAGGCAGGTGAGCACGATAATTACTCGGTCTAAGATATAAATGTAATTGTTTACCATTCAGATTGTTCAAGATCGCTTCAGAACCGATCTTCGAACGTTGTTTTTCAATCTTTTGCTTGATTTTGCTGTGTTCATTGAGCCTGGAAATGGCTTCATCGACATCATGCGCATCTCGATCCCTTAATTCAATCCATTGAAATGTAAGCTTGCCTTTTTTGAACTGAAAATTTAATTGACACTATTCACCAGATTTCTTGAGCCATCTCTTCTAAGCATAGTAATCGACCAAGTTCGATTTTTTGTTCGTCTTGAATATGACATCTCTTGTTTTGAGAGTTGCGCTCCATGATCCATTGTTCACGCAGGAACTCGTAAGTATAGCAGATTGTGGGGAATAGTGAACTTTTCTCCCTTGATAATTTGGACAGGGCGTTCCGAGTGTCACGTAATACAGTATTAGCATTGCGTAGGTGGCGTAAAAGCCAATCAGCTGCATCAAATCAGAATCAGCTTCTGATCAGGCTAATCAAATACGCTAAAATCTACATACCTGTTGTTTTCAAAGTGATTTCCATAAAATAGTCGGCCCGCCAATTTATGTTGAGAAGTCGATGGAGTCGTGTGGATATGCGATTCACCGCTACCAATAAAGATAAGAACGACCAGAACCGTTCGAGTCCTTCACCATCTGTCAATCCCCAAAAATTGTTGAAGCGCGGGTTGTAGAGTACTTGACATGCCCAGTTATGTACATAAGCGTGAAAAACCGATGTGCCAAATTTAAGTCTATCTGCAATTTGTTCAAATAAGTTTCTCTTTAGACAAAATGGCATTAGTATTAAGCTTGAAAGGTTGGTATATTATGAAATCACTTGCCTTTTTTATATGTGCGTCAAGCTGACACCCGATGTCATATAGAACTCCTATTATGATATCTGGCAAATCCCGCAACAATTGATCGAGGATACTCAATGGATAGTAAAGCCTGCAGACAAGTATCAAAACCAGAAATTAACGTTGAGATATTGGAATATGTCAAGTGAAATTATATCACTTACTTTTCACCCGTTTTGTAGATATTGGCTAACTTCAAGGGCACATCGTGGCGGCAAGTACATCCAAAGAGACCGGTATCATCACTTCTTTTCCATGAGGTTGAGTTCCTCACATCGTTTGCTGCGGTGTGAGAGTCAGAGCAGGGATTCTAAATTAAAATTGAGTTAGCTATAAGTTTTGATGTAAGATTAATTTGTAATTCCTACCTTAATGTTCTTGGCTTGGGCTTCGGTCGAATGCTGAAGAATCTCGTGCTTTTTCATATCAGACGGTTTTATAAAAATCTCCGGATACTCGTCTTCGGTAGGATTATCTTTGCTTGACTGGGTGTAATGCCTATGTTGAAAATTACCATCTAAAGCAACAATAACATGTGGCTCTTGAGGTAAATGTTCTTCATTAATTGCTGGTCCAAAACATCTACCACAGCGATCAGCCAATAGTTGAGCGTTTGAAAGTGTGAGGCCTTCGTTATAAATTTTCTTCGTACAGAGCATGATTGATCGATACATGTTGACTGAGTTGGAGAATTGTCTTCTGAGATCACGTTCATGAATCAGTGATCGGTATTTATAAGATTGAGGTTTCAGGTTGGTTTTGCTTCGTAGATTGAGAAATGACATTAATCCATTGATGAATCCGGTACTTGAAATCGTAGTCGTATTCCAAAGTTGATGATGAAATTGGAGGACCCGTACTGAGAAGGCTGTCTGTGGAGATTGAGGCGAGCTTGATATGTATCCATGGTGTAGAAGGCGTACAGGTTTGGGCATGCACACACAGAAAGAAATATAGGTTTTGCTGTGAAATCCTAAGATGTCGATAAGATCAAGGGGTTGCAATGTGAGTTCAGAATCGGAGCATTGACAGTGTATATTTTGATCGAGGTACGAGGCTTCAGAAGTCCAATTCCTTGTTTTATGCTGAAGTTCTAGATAAGTAGCAGTCATCGGAACTTCAATTTCTTTCCACTGAAGTTTTTGACGTCTTCGAGCCTCTTCTTTCCAATATTCACGACTTTCTTGAGCAAAGTGATCGGCATCGTCAGGGATCGGAGGAGTAGAGGGTTCTGGTTGGTACGGAAAAGGCATGTATTGAGCCAATACGGGATCATTGAGTGAGTCCTTGAGATTTGCATTCGAACCGTGAACAGGCTGGTTAGTGATGCCGAGAGAAGCCGAGATCGATTGGGCTTGTTGAGGAGTGATCTTAGGGGGAGTGGCAGCCTTTCGACGCCGCTTTGACCTGAAACCCATGTTGCCGAGAAGATTTTTTGGTTTGTTCTTTCCTCCCATATCTGTGAGGTGTATCGAAGGTGAATATGATGAATATCGAAATTGATGATATGATGATTCTTGAAAGTAAGAATACCTGAACGTTTGTGGACGGGGTTCAGAATTTGATGCCACTGGGACCGGGTTACAGCCACGGGTACCGTAGGGCCTCTGAAGCCGGATTTGGTCAAGTTCGGGTCAAGATTTTGAAAAAAATCTTGGCCAAGTGTGAGCCTGTATCGGGGTCCATTCTCAAGTGTTATCTGAGAACAGTTGAGAACACGCAAAATCCACTACCAGTCGATTTTACATCTCTCCTCGACTCGACTGGTAGTGGAAGAATACAGGGTTCCGCGGTGGTTGGAGGCCCGCGGTGCGAAAGGGACGGGGATTGACGCAAAGACGGACAAAATTGTTGGATGGACCGTGATTCATGATTTTGGATGTACCCAAACGCTGTAAGTTGTCGGCGGCATTGACCGCAATGTTGAAAGTAAAATTCGCACTGAAAGGATGTTATGATCCCCGACGGGAGGGAACGCTGGCTATGAGCAAGGATTGTAATGCCACCGAGAAGCGACTGGATGCTGCATTGTCACGGCGCGCCAGCTGGGGCCGAAGGCCACTCAGGCCGTCCTCCGGCTACGACCATTCGTCGCAGTGAGCTGCCCGTACACACCGTAATTGCTTTGAACGTCGTCGGAGAAACATGTCCGCTTACTGGACTCGGTTGTCGACAAACGGCGTGGACTTGCCAGGATGATTGCGATAGGCGGCAAATCCTCGGCTCGAGTACAATGTAAGGTGCTGTAAATGCAATTACTTTGCACGTGAATCCACAAATGTCGCCAATGTCGCGGCAACACGGGATTGTAAGGATACATGGATTCACGCTGGATTCACACTGTGAATAATATAGGCGGCAGCGGAACGCTGTGGGGGGGAGTTGCTGAGACTTTCATTTTTACGTTTGTGTTTTGGGTGAAAGGACAGGCCAGAAACGGCTTTGCTTTCTTGTCGCAAACAATACCCCCAAAGGTGGATTGTACCAGCTCATAATGGCTTCACAGCGGCCATCCAAACCTCGCCAGACGGCAAACTCACATCCTGACGTGAGCTACAGATTCACAGACGACACACCTCCAAACACGACGGCGGCAAAGGTGACCAGGACGAGCCGGCACCATCTCCCCATGATTGTCAATGTGTACAACTGGCTTCCATTTCCTCTCGTCACCTTAGCACAACCAACTCCCGGATTTGACTTGAACCCCTCATCTAACCGGTTCATTTGCAATACGGCACGAACACCGCCTTGGTTTCCTGACCCGTCTTCCGCTGCACGCTTCCTCAAATACCGGGCAATGTCGACCATGTTACGTTTGCCATGACCTCCTTGTCACCTTGGACCTTCCAAGCCGAAAGGCAAAACGGTGTAGCCCACCTTCTCACCGGAGTATTGGAAGCCTAACATGGACCCAACCCTCTAATCCAGTACTTACTTTTGGACCACCAATCATAGGAGGATGGTGATCTGCTCACAGCTGTTCCAGAGGGATTCAACATCAAATACTCCGATGTACGGAACCGCATGCGTAAACGCGAAAACCGAATGGCAACACTTGCCAACTGTCCATTTGCCTCACTTCAAGCCTGGCTCCACCGTCTTACGGAACGCGGATGGCACATCTATAACGACATTCGGTCTAGTCATAACCAAATTCACATAGGTTTCTTTTCACCTTGGCAACGGCAACAACTCCTCCGCCACGGCGTAGACGTCGTCTGCTTTGACTCTACCCATGTTTGCCAAAAGCTTGAAATCCCCAGATGACGCAGTGTCAAACTCACTCTGATTACGCTAGTCATCCGGAATCCTGTTACCGGCAGTGGTACCCCAGTTGCTTGGTTTCTAACTTCGGATGAAATGGTGTTAGTCACTTATTAACTAGCTTTTGATGCAGCAGCTGACGTAGGTACACATCCCAAAACCCACAGCTCTACAATCACACAATTCCTTACCAGGCTGAAGGACAAATTTCAGGTCATACCATCCGCCTTCACCTCGACGCACGGCAGTTGCGCCTCGAGAGGCTCCCGACTCCTCAAGTTACCATCAATCAACCAAATGATAGCTTATACAAGTCGCCAACCCCTGTCAATGCTTCTCAGTTATGGGGACTCTTTGGCACAATGCACGCTGAAATGTCTGCAGCCCCCGTACCTACGGACGTTAGATAAACAACCAACCGTCCACCTGACTCGGTTCCTCCGTTTGTTACATCTAGAAATTGTGTAGAAGTGTGAGAACCAGCCATTCCTAATTGTGAAAACTATTGAAGCGACACTAATGTTGAATGAAACACAATTACTGTCAACGTCCATCTCACTCTGATTCATTCAATACCATACCACCCATGGCCTCTATCACCAAGCATTCCGCTACACACATTAACACCACCGACCCCAAATCCAACGGAAGAACCAGAACCTTGCGACGCACGCAAAGCACTCAAACAGCTCGCACTCGACGAACTTTTTCCTTATGCTCGACTTACGACGCAGTTGGAGTTGAAATACTCATCCGAAGATCTCGTAACAAACGGCACTTTGGCAGGCATCGAACGTGCCACTCACGCTGTTCGTGAAGGGTATTTTGAAGCTCTTGACTTGCACTCTGAAGGGTGTTCTACCAAACAAATCCGCTAACTTTCCCATTGTTAAACACTTAGCCAGCCTTTTCGACGAACGTCTTCATTCAAAAGGGCGATGTTAGCTGCACAACTAAAAACGGTGGGAAGACCGCGTAACCTTCAGCATTAACATCTCAGATTTTTCCAAATTTTCTTATCATCCTTTATTTCCCTGTCTCTCGTGACCGAACATAGATTTCATTTTCTACCCTTTCCCTTCGACAAGCACACATTCCAAAGTGATAGATTTTCCCAAGTTTGTAAAGTCGTGTAGCTCATCTTCAGGCATGCAATTTAACGTTTTGCCTGATATTCTTCCGAGCGGTATACACGCGAATGATATTCGAGTTATCATTCGCGTGTATACCAACCGTCGGGAGATCCCCCGGGGATCTCCCGACCCGAGCAATCAGCATTACCCGAGTACGTGTTACCGTGCAAAGCGAGGTATAGTCAAATACCTCTGTTCTCACGGTTATTTGACCGAGATCTTCCAGGTAGAATAACGGCGTGCCAATGAGACTCACTAAGGACCAGGCGCAGAATCCCAGGTCTTCGTAGTACCAAACGCTTTCGTTTTCCACGTTTGATCACATACGAGTCTCAGATTGGGGTGATTTTTCAATCTGAGACGCCATTCGTGCTGGGATTAGCGATTCAGTAGGCTTCTGGAAGTCGTGCCTCAGATAGTTTCAGTGAGGCACGTCTTCTACCGCCCACAAATGATGAGGCTAAGATGTTGCTCTTTGCCTCACCCCAGATTGGTAGCATTGGGTAGTAAGGAAATAAAAAGTTCTACTTTCATGATCTTTTTATTTCCCTACTAAATCAGATTTTTGACGTCTAAAACGCGATTGGATGTCCTTTCGTAAGTGGTTTATCTTGCACTCTCTTGCAGTTCCGTACTTTTTGCCTCGTCTAGTTAACCTTCGTGAGCTTCACTCACAGCATACACGTATGGCTTTTGAAAGACCCTTTCTGTGAAAGGTCGTGCATATATGATATATATGCTGGTGTGCATATATCCCGCCGAAGTTCCGATATCCTCAGTCACAAGATCCTTGAAGTTCGTATCTGCGTGGTTGGTTTCTTTCGTTTTGTTCAGGCGGTGGTTTTGTAGTCATTTTCGCATTTGACCTCCTTCGTCGTAGCTACCTATAATTTTCTAAACTTTTTTAATCCATATTCGCGTCAGTGTTTTTGATCCTCTTGAATAAGATATTTCGGTGTGATTCGGCTCGCTTACATGGTTTCTTCTAGCTAGCAAGGAAAATCATATATACACTCAAGTAAGTTCCTACCCTCCATGCCCTCGTGTCAAAGTACTAGGGAAAACTAATGGTTTGACCTTTGGTCCCCTTCAGTTAAATATGTCGCTACCGAACTCGCGAGCTAGCTGGTCACCCATAAGCGGTCTGAACATAACAAACGGGTTGCCTGTCCAGGTAAGTGCGATTGTTTGCTATGGATAATATGACTACTATGGCTTGAACGGTCTTTGCTGTTTGCTACCTACCGCCAGGCCGGTAATGTGGATCCGCGCCCAGGGACCAATTCAACACCGTGGCCACATGTCCCCACCCCCAATGTCGAATTACAAGGCCGGCCTGCCGGTGCCCTTGGAAACACCGTGGCGTTCGGTTCCATTGAGTTTGAGCGTAATGAAAATTGGGCTTTCTCCCCTGTGAGTATTTGGTTACGATTCGCATCAAAAGCAAATAACCTGTGTCAACGTTTGCTAACAAAGTTTTGGCCTCTTTGAACAGAGTCAACGGAGCCCGGTGGCGGCATCGACTGTCTCGCCGGCCCAAGAGGCAGATGGGGCTGCGACACGCCATGTCCCTCAGGTTCTACCGTCGGTAAGTCAGGTTGCGTAGGATCAGCCAAGCAAATCATGTGGTACGGGCAGCTTATGTCTCTTGCGTTTCCGGCCTTGCAGTGGCCACAACCATCCAGTGCAGGTCACATCGATGGGTTTCCTACCGCCAAGACGGCACCACCGAGCTCTACCGAGGCGTTTCTGGCGGCTCCAGGGGCAGTGTGGGTGCCTAGCGGACCCAGGTGAGCCCTGTGGTGACTCCTTCTCGCCACTCGGCGGCAAAGACTAACAGTGACCCACCCGTAGACCTGGCCGGGTTCCTGCGGAGTCGTTCACACACGACTCGTCTCATCCGTTATGGCGGTCCAGGAAGGACTACGCGAATATTGTCGACTGGCGCTCGACAAGAGTCATTTCAGATGACTCTTGTGCGGTCTCTTTCAATAGCGTATGTAATGCTGCAAGGGCCATGAATGGCTTGGATCATCGGTCAGATCCCCTGCCATGGTCACGCGATGGCCTGACGCCTAGGCGTGAGGCGGCTGCTTCAGCGCGCTACAACCTTGATGTGCTTCGCCCATCACGCCCTTCTTCCTCGTCGGGCGAAGACGAGGTCATGCGAGAGCTCTTGGTCGATTCGGAAGGAGAACACCAGGAGCTAGATCCTGGCCCTTCAGGTGCGTTGATGAACGTGAACGAGCTATGGTGTCATGATGAATCTGACTAATTTGACACCATAATTTTGTAGCTGTCCGATTGACCTCTGCTCGAAGAGAGATGGCCGAACCCAAGACTGTGCCTCTGTTATCGACCCAAACCCCCTCTTCCACGTCACCGAAGGCTCAAAAGGGGGTTGAAAACCCCCTTGTTAGGAAGATCTCACCGGTGATACATCCCGGTGAAGACCCCAGTGTTGCACATCCTCGCACTCGTCGCTGTGGTTCACCGTCTCGAACAGTCCCCTTACGAACCCCTTGGGTTCGTAAGCCACCTCGAGTGCCTACCCAAGCTCCACCCACCGCTTTGCTAGGTGAGCACCCACCGGTTCACACGGTGACACCGGTCACTCAGGTCACAGGTGCCAAAGTCACGCCTACCGTCCAATATCGACCGTTTGGACGGCTTTTGTCTACGGCCTCAGACTTACCACCCACTGGCCCAGTGGTTAACCTCTCGACTGAGCGCCCAATTTTGGCCCCACGGGACATGAACCGCCCTTTCATTAACTCAACGGAATTCCTTCAGCGTCGTGGTATCCAAGAACCAGTCCATCGCCCTTGCCATGAAAACACACCAGTGGGTGCAATTCCTGTGATTCAGGCGGCTCATGCCCATGTGCCGACTATACCTGCGCACTCGAATCCTTCGACCGAGTCTTCGAGTAACGCGAATCAGTCGGCTGAGACTTCCAGACCCGGCGTATCTTCTACTCCGGCCAGTATGATTGGACAGGATCAAAATGATGGTCCTTCGGCATGGCCGTTCACCTCCGAATCAGTGTGGCAGGTCAGCGCCACATCATCCATGCCGGAGGTCCCCAAGTATACGACTCAGGGTCGCATGCGTTGGGGACCTCCGGGAGGAGCGGACAGGTTCTGGCTCTCGCACTTGGCCAGCTTTAGACCTTTTGCAGTGCAAAAAGAGGTCAACGAGCGTTTCCACCAATGTACCGAGTACATCAAGGTACATAGTTTTTTTCCAAAGCCTTCCTTTTATTCCATGTGTGCCGATTCAGTTCACTGACCTGTATTGCATGCAGAAACTGCCTGCAGCCGCCGGATTGTTTGATAATCTATCATCCAACCCCAGGACGACTACGTTACGGAATCGGTACGACTTCCTTTCGAAGACGTGGCTTCCTCAGGCCGAGGCTGCGTCCGCACGCGCCAGTGGCACACAGGAGAAGGATGAAGACCTCCGTGAATTGATTAAGGTTTTTTTGGCTCAAGAACAGGTACGTCTGTGATCTAAGGTGGTATCTCCTATGTTTTATGAAGAGTTCGGCTGACAAGTTCATAAAATCTCATGACGCTTTCAGGACCTGATAGCGACTGTTCAAGAGGCCAAGGCAGCCAAAGAGGCTGCTGCCAAGGCCGTAGCTCGTGCCAACGAACTGCGAGACGAACGTGCCGTCAGACCTCGGTCAGCACCTCCTCGGGCGCAAATGGACCCGGACGAGGAGGCTACCTCCGACGATCCCGAAGGTGGTCCAAGACCACGTAATTCCTTAAAGGTCGTCAGGAACAGTTTGCTCAAAAAATTAGAAGGTGACGAATCCGTTAGTCATATGGTGAATGTGACCCTCAAAAGCAGCCAAGCTGCCGAGAAGGCAAATGAGCTCACCTCGCAAGCCCTGGAACAACACCTTGAACAGACCAAGGTATCCAACCAACAGCGGGAACGTGAGTTGGGTCAAAATCAGGCACGGCTTGACCTTGATTCCGAAATGGCCCGCGAAACGCTCCGCTTGCGTCGTGATGAGCTACAAGAGGCTCGCAAAGATAAGGAAAAGAACGGCAGCCAGATCGACGAGCTGAAGACTTCTATGGCTAGTGTTCAAGGGTCTCTTAACGAAATGGGTTCCGTACTGAAGATTTTAGCCGAACACATCACTCCTGCTCAACGCACGAGTTGAGCCTATGGACTCGGTAGGTCTATAGTGACTTGAGAGTTTCGTCAGACTTTACATTGACCTCGCTCTCCTCTTTTGTCCCATCCAGCCAGTTGCGAATCCCAGGGGTTCACATCATTTTGAAATTTCTTCCTCACCTGTTCGATCACATGTTGAAAACATTTGTTACAAATGTTTTCAACATGCTTCTTAAAAATCGTACATTTCATTTCCACTTTACCAATTTCTCGAAGTTGTCATTACAAGTTGAACCCGCTTTGAACCTGTTACATTCTGATTACTTGTATCCCTTTTTGATTGAGCACCCATATGTTTTGAAGTCTGGGCACTTGAAGGATATCGTAGCCAATGAAAACACATGCTTTTGCACCGTGACCGAACATAATCTCAATACATTCGAGCCCCTTTGTTAAGACTTTCGCGCGAAAGCCTTCACCGCAACCACCGGTGAAGTGGTTGTCATGCCACTTCACCGGGAAATCCAGCATTGGGTAATGATCCAAATGCGATTTGGCGCAAACCTCGTATCCCAGAGTAATGAGAACCTACATCATAAGGTATGATTTTGAATATTGAACTTCTCTTTTTTTGGGCAAAGGCTTCGAATTGCAAAACGTAACGCAAGTGAGTTGGGGTAGGATTCAACAGTCTCATAATCAAATTGCAAGTAAGCAAGCAAAGTCCAAGTGATTCCTCAAGCTACAAGAGAGGTATGAAACCATTCGATTGTCAAAGAGCTTCACATGGAAATTTTTGTTTTATTTTACAAGATAAAGGGTCAATGAAAGACTGAAGTCGATATTGGAGCCAATCACCGTTAAATTCAAGTAGGTCAAACCTCCATTGCAGGCACCATGAAACGCTGATCCAAATAAGCCTCCAACGTTGGTGGAGCTGCTACCCCTCCCAATGGCCCTCGCCCACAACAGATCAAGAAGTTTTTGAGTATCACTGCGCAGTGATACAAAGGGTTTAGCTCGTTGACATAGAATCTGAGGTTATCTACAAGAACCAGCGCAGTAATTTATGTAGCATTAGTCTATCACCAGTTATAATGTACTCTGATCGATGGCAACTAACCTTTGTATTGAGACATTCTGAAGATGTTATGGACACGACCAAATTCATGTTCAACTGCAATTCGGACAGTAGCCATGACATGATTGAACCAAGCTTGATCCGGAGTCAGGTTGATACCAGCGTAAGGTGTGAGCATTACAGGCGAGTTTTGATATCCTTGATCTCCAAACAACATCATTTGACGACCCCCGAAGCCTTTGGCATCTCGTGCTAATACGTCGGTCAGGCCTGACATCCTTAATATAGCTGTGTCGTGGCGCGAGCCAATGAAAGCCTCTGTTAGATCCGCTGTCATTCCACTTGTCAACGTCGGAACCGCATCATCAGCTAACATACACGAAGATGCAGACCAAAAATCAAAGGCGAACTCACTCCGGGGTGACTACAGCCTGGTATTTCAGGCTGTGAACACGCTTGTGCCCATTGTAAAATGCGCGCTGGTTGTACTTAGGACGTGCAATTCGCCACACAGTTCCTGGAAGTAGACAGTTAGGCCAAACCTAGCATCACTCGGTGTAGAGGCAAAGGGCTTACCGTCTAAAAACCCAACACAGTTGTCCATGGGACAACCCTTAGCCTCCACCAAACTCGCCGCAAAGCCTTCCAAAACGGCTGGCGAATAACGTCGCGGATCCCATCGCAATAGATGGCCCCAGTGCTCGTACATCCAAGCTTGGACCCAACGGCAGATTCGGCCGATCGTAGACAGGTCGCGACCGAACACTTGGGAAAGATCGAAATATCGAGAAGGCGTGGCCAACCGGGCCATGTAGATTGCGAGTGCCGTACTACCAACTTCTCTAGCTCGGTTCGGCAGTAAGATCGACTCTGGAAACGCACCCCAGTGTTGAATTTCTAGAATCTCTTCCGGATAAAATCGGGTGGTAAGTTTGGAGACTTGTGGGTGCCAAGTCTCTACGTCCACTCGTCTTGCCGAAAGGTCGGGTAGAGGATCACCTCCCAAACGTTCGATCCAGGTCAAGTACTGAAGGACCTCGCGAAGTTCTTCGAAGTGGTAGAGGTACCACCAAGAGAAGATAAGTACCGAGTTGGATAAAGCCGGCGACCTAGAGAGAGGCAGTCCGTTCGGATGGAAAAGAATAGACCCCATTCATATGAGACGGAGCGGTTGAAGTGAAAAGGTTAGTCGTTGAGTGACCAGGAACGATCCAGAGGGCATACTTTGGGAAAGAAGTCACCAGCATCAAGTGTCTACTATTGTGACATCTGGAAGTGGTGCATGGGAATAGATAGGTAACCCAGGTGTCAGCGAGTGGCCTGTCACTGGTTATACAGAGGAACCTAGGCGGTGTTCCGAAAGCCAAAATCCGCTCTGACAGTAGAATACCAGATAAGGAGACGAGAGGTCTGGGTTCCGTGCGCCTGGTCCTTACTGACACTGGGAGGATCAGACTCTCGTAGACTATGTACAGTCAAACCAGAAAAGCTTGCCACAAATTCCCCGCCAAATTGCTCGATTTTTGCGGGCAAAATCGGTCAAGCTTTTCCGATTTGACTGTACTGTCGTTCTCGAAAAGCTTGTCCGAGTTTTCCCGAAAAACTTGAGCAATTTGGAGGGAAAACTTGGACAAGCTTTTCAAGAACGACAGTATGTAGTAGTGCTATGCAGTACGTACTCGTGCCTGTTGAGATTGTTTCTATTCTTTGTTTGTATGTGTGTGAAGTTATGCGTGTCTTTCACTAGGATACACCTACGTGACATCTTTGTAGTCCGACTTAGACTCGTGCCGATGGTGGAGGAGCTAGATCCCTCGTCACTCTTACGACTTGGGATCTGAAGCTAACTTGTGCCTCACTCACCATCGGCACACTGCAGTATTAACAGTGCCAATTTGTCACATCTCGACCTGTGGCACATTGTCACGCACACACACAAGTGCAGTGCGCTGCGATTGTCTGAGTACTGCAATATATATGTATGTATGTACTCAGCTCGATTGACAAAATATAGAAAATATTCCTCTTTGATCCTCCACCTCGGCGGTCTCTTCAATCACAGTCACTGTCAGACATCTTGCATAAAGGTGTGAAAAGATCACCAGGCGGTAAACTTCCTTGGCCTCAGATGGCTCTGGAAACCTGTCCAGGAATTTGAATGAGATCATGGTTAAAAATAAAATGAAGAAGAAAGATACGATGACGCATGAGTTTACAAAGACTACACCGCTAAAGGGTTTTTAGGCAAAATTTCGTGAGCGCAGGGGTTTTTCGAAACCCGGCCCCTGCACGAGCACTGTCTCGTCTAAGTCACATCTGAACATGCAATCGTCTCATTGTCGCGAGCTCCAAGTATGCTCCACAGCACAGGACATCGTTCCGTTCCCACCACGCGGAGCTGAGAGGAGGTGATTCCGTAAACCCAGCTCATGGCGATCCGCCGCTGATCACGCGCAGCTCATATGAACCCGAAACACGCGTGAATTTTGCGATAACTCATGGCTGAGACAGTTATCACATGCATGCTGTTTAAAAGTATTTCCAATGCATGAGAAGCATACGGAAGCCAAACCAAACATGTCAGAAGACATGTTAACCCCCAGGTGAAGATCTCTTCGCTTTTGCTTTCGCGTTGTGACCCATCGGAAAGTGTTCGTTATCATATCTCATATTCGGAAAAATCTTCGTAATCGTCTTTCTTGTTACCACACATCACATTATCATAATCCACCATGCGATTTGTCTCGGCGGCTCAAGCGACTGCAGCTGAGCGTGAGGCTTCCTTCATTCGCGGTCATGGCCCCTGTATCGATTTGGATATTTTGATCAAGATCATTTTTGTTCATTCTGTGCCTTAGACTTTGTGCAATGCACGTCTGGTCCAAACGAGGGACAGTGGACCTGTAAATTGTGCACCGGAAGAACGTTCAAAGACAAAGTCAAACATAGCAAATTAAAAACACATATAGACCGAGTACGACTCGAGCTTGAAAGAGTCTCTGCGGCTCAGTCCGCAACGGCAACTCCGGGTTTATGCCCTCGCACCACAGTGCCGAACGTATCAACATCGTCAAGTTCGATGTTTCCTGAGGAGCAGAATATACAAGCGGATATGCCAGACAGCCATCACCACATGGATCTATCTGATGATGGCCTGGCCGAAAGCTCCGATGAGCTTGCATCATTATATGATCCATCCGCTCCGAATGGATTTGAGGATTGGTCTCAAGACAACAGAGAGTCCAGTGTGGACATCGACTCTTTCCTTGAAAGCACTTCCAACGACTCCGAAAGCAATCCACGCCCACCAGTGGATGTTGATGCCGAACCTGCTGGGACCGACACATGGCTTCCGTGGTACCCTTTGCGAAAGCCAGAGGTGGGCGAATTTGGCAAGCCCCCCGTGTTTGTAAGTCAGCTAACAACTGACTTCCATTACATTGTTGTTTGCCCAGCACGCGGCTGCTCTAATGATGTTGGGCACCGGGCGCAACCTTATGTCTACCGCCGAATACAACCGCATCCGCGCAATTTTGAAGAGAGTTCTTAAAGTGGATTTGCCTGATCTCGGTCCGTACTATTTTGCAATGACAAGTTGATTACCAATGATCAAACTGAAATGGTATCAATTTCTCAATTTCAGGCCACATTAAGAGTGTTCGCAATGAACTTAAGGCTCGCTTCGGCCTGCGGGTGTTAGAAAGAATCAGCCCGCTGGGAAACCCATGTTTCACTCTCTCGTTGGATTCTTC